CTACACCGGATCAAATAACTAAGTTCACATGTTCGTTTGAAAAAATTGGTCATTTTTTAAAAATCACTATTTTAAGGTCCAAAAAAGTTACCAATAAGTACAAGAAAGAAGCGCCAATCATATTTGGCTATTAAAAAGTTTCCAGAAATTTGGATTTTATGTCCAACAATATTATGGCCTACTCATCACATGAATATATGTCAAATATGTAATTTTTTATTTTCATTTTTCATGGACTCTTCTGTAAAATTTAATTAACAAGCAAAAAAAAGAAGAATTAGCTTCAAGGAAATGAAAGAAATATTAAAGTTAGCTGCTGATAGATTTTCAACATATTGATTGGAAATATTTTTTATTTGATTATGAATTTGCTGAGTAATTTTAACGAGAAATGAAAAAATTGCAAATAATATATAAAAGACCTGCACATTCCATCATTTGAATAAAATTAGTAGACAGGCAATTCAAATAATTTACACTTAACTTTGTATGCTAATACAATATAAAAGTTAGCTCAATTGTTTGCATCAGTGTCGAATGTTTTCGATTGCGTATGCGAATATTGAATAAATGTCCCTTTTCACTTCGTTTACGTTCAATAATAAAATCAACAGCGGCGATGCTTTTTGATGGGTTTAATGAATGAATGAGATTTTCTGAGGATGACCTGTTGTTGTATGGGAACAAATCAAAATTCCATATTACCTTGGGAAGGTAAGAAAAAAGAGACATACAGTCCTTCTAGCTATTTTGCTTTTTCCAAGTGCCAAAAAATGAATAAGCAAAAGTATTTTCATTTTCATGCAAAAATGAAATGCGTTTTATGGATGGGAAAGGATATCATTTGTAAGCATTTCTTTCTTTTTTTTTTATTAAAGTGTTTTAATAGTAAAAAGTCATAAGGTCAGAAAGGTTTAAAATTCGTCTGTGAACATTACACTAAAATAAATTAAATATAGTGCCTTTTTTCTTCTATTTGAAATATTTGAATTTTTAAGGTATGTTTAATGTTTCACCTGATCGTAGGGTAATATTTCAGGAGAATAGAATATTGATCTCTCAACCAGCTGTTTAATCATTTCAAAACTTTTATAGATCATGCTCGAGATCGTGAATAAATCAGATGTATTGAAGCTAGCAGTATTTATTTTCAAATCACTCAGGTGGATTAACTATCGGTTATTTATCGTTTCAATCAACCATAAGCTAGAAAATTTTTCTCAGGATACTTAAACTTAACTTCTAGCAAAACTTAATTTTACAGTAAATTTAAGGTTATTGTATCACTGTGCTTTTTTTATTTAAAATAAAAAGCAGACGAATGCAACATAATTGGAAACTGTTAGGAATAAAATCTTTAAAGGGTTATGTCAAATCTACGAGAAATGAAGAAGATAACGAACCTCACGAATTAAATTTCCGGTAGTTATTTCATCATTAAATTGCTGTTTTTGAGTATTAAGAGAGAAAATTTTATATGGTTCACGATTTGGTAAAGATTTTTTCGTTTTTTGATGATTTTCTCCGTTGCAAAAATATGCAAGCATTTTGTTCGAATTAATTATTGGTAAACCACCCATCCATTGTATAATTTCTTCACCAGTTAAATCAATTTTTGCTATTTCTAGAAATTCTGATTTTGATGAAGATTTCTCAATCAAGTTATCACAATTATCAATTTTTTTATCGCTCTTTTGCATCATAAAATCCTGATCATTATCAGTATGATCAGCAGAAAAAAGTTTATGATGCTGTTTATCACTTCGTAAATTTTTATCATCAGTAGCAGTAGTAGCAATTAAATCAGAAAGAAGAACGAGAGAATCATCAATCGACGCAAGAATCATTTCAAGTCCTCCCGGTCGTCGGTAAGCATCTTTGAGTGCTCGAACACTGTTTCGTTTGAAACTTTCCGTGCGTTGTGAAGATTGAAAGCTGATGCTGCGTGATTCAAAGTTCCGACGCTCTTTATGCATATTTCGAAAATATGATTTTAAAATACTTCTTTTTTAAAATAAATCTTTGTAAGTGGGCTAATGCAGAACACTTGGAAGAGAAGAAATTTAAGCAGTTATATTTGTAGAAAAATTTGCTAACCGCTTAATATTATTATCGCAATACTGAAGTTGCAAGATCTAAAAATTCCAAACCTCGGGAAATTGTGTTTGAATATCAAAAGTAATAGAATTGAAAAAATCCGAAAAAAAGGGAGTCAGAAAAAAACTTTTCAATAATAATAGCAGGAATAGTAATAAATTTTGAATGTGAAATCTCATTTTTGAAAAAAAAAACTCTGATCAACATTTAATAATGATTCAATAAATGTTTCTATTGCAAAGTTTTATAAAGCAATGGATTTTTTACAGTGAAAAAAAAGGGTGAAGAAATGAAAAATAAAAGAATATCTTCACATGATGATGAAATTTTAAAAAATTAAACGTTTAAAACATTTGTCAGCAATTTTTGAATCATTCTTTAAATATTAAAACAACAATTCAACAAATGTTTTTATTATAAAACCTTATAACTAATGGATTTTTACAATAAAAAAGTGTATATAATAATAAAATGTAACTTAATATAACTTTCTAAATCTATCCTTGAACAATTTTGGCCATTTATTTCAAAGTTTCTCGCAAACGCATATTGATAAATTTAGATAATAAGACTCTGATCGCCAAGATAACCATCAAGTGTCAGAAAGCCATACAAAAAAAAAATCACGAATTAATAAAATAGTCTAAAAATAAAAATTCCGCGAGAAATGAAATGAAAAAAATTGTTTTTAATAAAGTATGTATCTCTTAGTTGAGATACAGATATTTCAGGTTTAAAAAAAAAACATTAAAGTTAAAAATTCATAAAATAATAGATTAAAAAGTGTAGGAAATATAAATTACGTTGTAAAATATAAAATGAATTTAAATGTCTTTCAAAATTAATATAAAGAGTTAATACTTTAAATTGATTTGACTCGGTTTACGTTTAAAAAAATAATAAACGTCATATGGTTAAATTTAAATTGATTAACTGTTTATGTCATCACTCCTACCACTCATTTGAGTTACTTAACCTTTATTCATTTAAATTGTAATTGTGATCATTTATATTATTTAACTTTTTAAAAATATGTCCTATCATATTTTAGCCCATTAAGCGTTTATAACCTTTCGTACGACAATAATGAAAGTATTCAGATTTGATTTAACGATCAGTAAAGATTTAAAGAAACATATATGAAAAATCTTACGTATTGAACTAAAAATAATTTTATCCGAAATAATATACCAATTAAAGATTTCTAAATAATCCTACTAAATATAAATAATCAATCATTTACATATTGAAAATGATATTTACAGTACGTATGAAAGCGTTTTAAATTGAAAAATATAATTATTTAAAAAGATTAAATTTTACATATTCTTTACAATCAATGTAAAGTTTAATAATGAAAAAATAATTTCAAAATGTTTGCATTCTCTGATTGAAACAAATTTTGATATCAATTTCAGTAATGAATTTTAATTATATAATAACGATTATAATGAAAAAATGCTTCTTTAACATATTTCTTAAATAATTCCAATTGCTGCAAGTCATGAAAAATTAATGAAAAGTATGATAGAATACTGAATTTAATTACTCTCAAACTTTTTTTTAAAATTGTTTTTCAATACTTTTTTTAACTTTTAAATTGCTCTTTAACGAACTTTTTTAAAAAAAAACATACGAAGTAACAAATTTCTCCCATACATAATAAT